CCGTTCAAGCTGGAAGTTGATGCCAGCGCTATAGCCGCTGGAAGTGTGCTGATCCAGGAAGATTCAGCTGGTATTGCTCATCCGGTCTGTTATTTTTCTAAGAAGTTCAACCGACACCAACTGCACTATTCCACCATTGAAAAGGAAACGTTGGCTCTACTCCTTTCATTGCAGCATTTCCACGTTTACGTGGGTTCCAGTTGTTCTCCTACAATAGTGTATACAGACCATAACCCTTTGACTTTCCTCAGTAGGCTGTATAACCAGAACCAGCGGCTCATGCGGTGGGCGCTCATCCTACAGGAATATGCCATCGAGGTTCGACACAAGAAGGGGACTAACAACATCATTGCTGATGGGTTGTCCAGAAGTTTTGGTAACCTGTAGCGTCCAATAACCACTACATATCACAGATGCATACAATTTGTTTTAACTCCTCCTTCCAGGGCCCCTTGTAGGCACAAGGGCTTCACCCTCTTTAGGGTGTTGCCGTTTGTTGTTTTCTCTAGGGTTGCGGCAAGAGGCTAGTGTTGTCTGTGTCCTGCAGACATCTCGGGAGCACCCCAGGGTGATGGGGGACGGGCTTGCCAATGGGCCACCCCTCGTCGTCGCTGGTTTGTATGTGTACACCCACACATGTGCTTAATCTGCCCGCCTTAACCCGCATGAAGAGCAAGGGTTGAGTTAGAGAAGCTCCCCCATAGGTAGTTAGCGGGATGCCCTGGTTGTGTGTAAATGGAGGATACTGTTGAGTTTTACATGCATCTTGCGTTTTAAGAAAAAAGATGGTGGTGTCTTAGGTATGGTTTTAGATTCTTTATCTCACCCCCTCCTTTTTTCTTTTAAGGGTGGGGATGTTACGGCCGCAGCCGTTTTGAAGCCCAGAGGTGTGCTCCGCGCCGTTCCCTGTGCAGCAGCGCAGCACCACGGACAGCTACGCTCTGGGATGTTGTCCTTACTCCAGCACCATGGAGAGCGCCGGAGCGGCAGGCACAAGCAGCTGGGACTTTTTATCTCATCAGCCGGCCCTTCAAAAGCGGCCAGCTGGAGCTCATCAGGGGAGAGAAATGTTTGGAGTTGCAGAGACAACGTTTGTTCTCTCCCCGTTGGCAGTTAACAGGTTGTTGTTGGCTTTTTGTAAAGAAGCAGCTTTAGAACCTTTTGTGTTTTGGGATAGTTGCATTTAAGCGGTAATTTTGGTTTTGGTGTGTCTGCTAGACCATCTTGTGGTTTAAATTACCAGGTGGGGATTATTCCCCTTTTGAAGTCTCAGTTTCCTGAGCTATTTTTGTTGTTTGGGTAACCTAAGTTAATTCAGCATTTGGTTTTGTCTGTTAGACAAACCTTGGTTAATTTAAGGGTGGGATTTTCCCCTTTTGCTGTTTCATTCCCTTTTTAAATAAAGGAGATTAATTTTAAGAGTGGTTGGTCCTCTGGACATTTTTAGTTATTCGTTTAAACTCAGTTTGGTAAGGGTTTTTGGCCCTTCTTTTGGTACTTTCTTTTTGTAATAAAATCCTTGAAAGGAAACTTTGAGTTTGGTCTTGCTTGGACAAGCCTTTTTCTCCCCAACGAGGGTCACTTTTTGTTAGACTGGTCCATCTTATGTTTATTCCCCTCACCTTCCTAGCTGAGCCCATAGAGGGGTGTAACATCGGTCTTGACAGTTTATTTGCTGTAAATGACCTATAATTATTTAGGGGTATTAAACAGGCATTTACCTTGGTTTTGAGCAACGCCTTTTAAGCAAATTTAGGATTTTGTTTTTGTTAATCAGCATAATAAAGAGTTTCCTACAAAAGAATCATAAGAATGAAGAATAAAACATGAATTTTTATTTTAGGCTGAAGGTTTTGAAACCTGGTGAAATACAAAAGCACAAAAACACTCATAAGCATTTTATGTGACTTTGAAACACAACTGGTTCATTTAAATAGTTTTTTAAGGCTTTTACAGAATTTCTTGAGACAAAGTGATTGGTCCAGATTTCCAATCAGAAAGCAGCTCATCTCATCACGAGAGAAAAGGAAGGCGGAGGTGGGGTTACGTTTACACTCAGGAAACACTGATGAGAAGAGCTGATGGACCAAGTGGAGTTAAATGTTTATCAAGATCAGAGAAATGATGAAGGTCCTTCTACTCATCCTCTCATTGGTTACAGGTAAATAACCTGTTGGAATCTGTTTAATAATCATTTACTGACTTCATGTTAGTCTTTTATTTTTGTTACTGATTTCTCACAAGAACCAAGCACTGGATCCTGAGAGCAAAGCTCTAGAAGATAGTTTTAATTAATCTAATCACACACACACACACACACACACACACACACACACACACATACACGAATGAGGAAATGGGGAGAAAAAGTCTCAAAAGATATCTGTGTGTAACTAACAAGCTAATACTGCAGATAGGACTTTAAAGTCGCCCAGAATATTTTACTGAGAATGTTTTTCTGCGCAACACCAGGCTCCTTAAACCCAAACCAGGTATGTAAAACCAATGTGACCTCGTCTTTTTTACAAGCACAACTTCATCTACCCGCTCCAGCTGCAGCCTGTCACAAAACGGTAGATGTTGAAGTAGATGCTTGTGCTGCAAGACGCACAAAAAAAAAAAAAAGAAACAGACATGAGACAAGGAAACGCAGAGGAGGGGAGGCTGGATTAAATTAACAAAAAACAACCCACGTGGGCAGGAAAACTGAACTAAAAAACATCACAACGTAAACAAACACAAGAATCAACTCTAACTTTAATGATGAGGTCCAGAGGCTGGCAAGATGAAGGCAACAGGAGGCTGGCGGCAAAGAGACTGGACCTCGGGAGTCGGAGACACAAGAACCCTGGGACAGGATGGCTTGGACTGAGCCCCAGGAAACCAGGACCCTCAGGAGACATCTGGACAGAACCGCAGCTGCAGATAGGGTGGCAGGGCCGGGGCCTCTAGGTCAGGCGGCACAGCTCTGATCTCAGGAGCAGCCTAGCGATGGCGGCATTGTCGTCAGCGTGCAGTTGGAGGAGCAGAAGGGCCCGACTGACCCACTGAAGAGGGGATGGCATCAGCCGGGAAGGACAGGGGACACACTTTTGAAGAGGACATCCTGGACAGAGAAGATATGGTTTGTGAGAGAAGAAAAGGAAGCCATCTACGTCAAACATGAAAAACCTACATTAAGTAGAGGGGGAGGTCTCAGGTTTCACCTTTCCAGCATCTACAATATAGCCCTGAACCTAATCTCCAAACTGTTTCAGTCTAGGTCACACCCTCTCGCATCTAATCAAAACAATTCCCTCACAACAGAGGCTAACGACTCTGATGACTCATCAGCAGGTAGGGAGGAGAGGTGTGCATAGATAGTTTCTGCTCCTTAAGCACCACAGCTACAGGGGATTGACCCTCACGTATTGACAAAGCTCCTCGGATGAGAAGCAAAATGTCTTCAAGAAATCAAAGATCACCGTAATGTATTGTATATGCACTGAAAGCCCCATTTTTAATCTTTTCAGCACTTTTGGAATTTTAATGATATCTTGAATGGTTCAGGAATTGTGGTAATGAGAAGTGTGCATGTCCAATCCCGTCTGCGGCCACAGGTCAGTAATAAGAATATTGTGGCATTAACAGAGGGGTGCCGGCGGTCAGGACTAGGGGGTCCCCCAACACAAGGGGTGAATATATATGAACCCTGGTAGCAGTTTTTCTTTAGGGTTGAGAGGAGATGCAGGAAGATAATAAACAGGCAGGACAGAAAAATAGTCAAATAAAAACAAGTTAGTTTTTGTACCTGGTGGTTGCAACAAACAGACACCACTGAAGGTAATCAGAAGTGAGGAACAGAAAATGAAATAATAATTTTAATGTTTAGAGCAGCAGGAACTCTGAGAGGCTGCAGGCACATCAGTGAGTTTGCGGCCGCTGCGCGCGCGGGGGGTGGGGTGGGGGTGGGGGGCTGAAGCAGAAACTACCGTTGTTAAAAGAAATGTGTTTAACTTTGAAAATGTGGGCGCAATTTTAATTGTCAAAAACTCCAGCGAACCATTAGTTCATTTTGCTCAAATAGAAATTGAGGCCTGCCTCTAATTCTGGTCCTCCTTCCAATAAAGGCCTGGAGCTTGATGAGCTTGAGTCAAATACAGGCCCGGGCCTGTATTAGAGGATTTACGGTAAGTAGTTATTTTTCTTGGTAATTAGTTAATTTTATAATCTCTTAACTCAGTTAGTAACTGAGTTACTTTTTTGACAAAGTAATTAGTAACTACAACTAATTACTTTTTAAAAGTAACTTTCCCAACACTGGTTGTAAAGCACCTTGGGACCGCTGGTGACCTTCCAAGACTCTAGAAGGTGCTATATCAAATACAGGCCATTTACCCTACTTGATTGTTTAAGCTACCTCACAGAAGGGATCTGTTTGTTAAATGTTAATAGGGAACATTCTGGATCTGTTTCTTCGCTTTCTTTATTCTGTTTTATGTATCAAAAGTATCGGATCAGGACTCGGTATCGGCAGTATTCTCAAAATCAAATGACTCGGACGCGGACTCAAAGTCAAGAAACCCTGATCGGGACAGCCCTATTTTAAACAGAGATGTATTTTTAAGGCCCAGTTATAAAAAAGTCCATGACAAAAGTACAGTTCCTGCTTAAACCAGTCCTGGTAATGTGCAGGTATGTGCATTACCACATGTGGAAGTCTAAACCTCTCAGCCATGCACACGTTTTGTATAATTGATGTTCTTGTATCACCATGTTATTCTACCCCTGCAGAGAAAAGAAAGAGGACAGCAGAACGGAGGACCAGAAAAACACAGCTAGATTAACCCAAATCAGTTTTGTAACCCTTCCATTCTGCCTACTAGCAGTTTCGTTCAGTTAGTGCTCATCATACAGGGTTTGCCAAGACATTTCTGGACAAGAGAATCCAAAAAAGACAACTTTTGATCATTTTCGTTTGGGGGTAAAAACATTACTAGACTCAAGATCAACATGATACCATGGTGGCCAAAGTGCTAGGACCAGTCTTTCTTTTTCTCACTACCAGTTTGGTGAATTCAGCAGCTGTGATGACCCCACTGTCACCAAATGGTAAGTTATTTTTTTATACCTATCTATGTATTTATCTTTAAAATAGAGCATGTTTTTTATTTAAAATAGTCATTTAATAGTTTGAGATTCATTATTATTGTAAAAACTTTAGGTTAATTTAATAAACCCTTTTTTCAAAGATGAAAACAACTAAAACAATTTGAACAGTGAGATATTGTTTGATGTTTTTACGTTAGCTTCGTGTGTTAAACTAGTTAGGTAAAATCATAAAATAACAAAAACTAGTAATAGTACATTTATTTGGGGATTTGCTGCTGACTGATCCCCCCCCCCCCCCCCCCACACACACACACACTCACAAACGTGTGTAATCAATCCTGTTCCTGAACACTAATAGAGCACATGACACATCATCTCTGTTCCTTTTGCTCACCCAAACACGCACATTTACAGGCCTGACTGATTTATTTCTCCAATCTAGGTCTTCAGGTAAATTACACTGGCGAGGTGATTTACAATGATACCAGTGTGTATGGAGTGGTGGACAAATCCGTTATCCTGGAATGTGGAAAGAAATTACCTGATATATACATATGGAGCTTCACCAAGCCTGGCGCTGATGGCATTAAAGCGGTGGTGTATGATCTGGGGAAAGGGCCGAGGATCCAGAAACTGGCTGAAATGCTCGGACCACTGACGGTCATCTCTAACAGAGCAGCTTTAAGTATTGAGAAACTGCCTCTGGCTGCTCAGGGCTTGTTCACCTGTCAGGCCTTCTTTGACAATGAAGACGGAGTAAGAGCCTTCTACTACTATGTGTACCTTATCGTCCAAGGTAAGATCTGCTCTATCTGCATGAGCTTGTTTGGACTGAACCTTCAATATCCTGCTGCAAAGGTTCTAGTTTAGGCATGGTCTCATGGACAATAGCGCCACATTAAAGGCACCAACTTAATACTTCCTAAAATTATTCAAATTCTAGTACTGTCCACATATCTGATTGGTTATTCAAGCAGCTGTCTTGGTTTCCTAAATAATCCCTTCCTCTAGTGAGCCTTGTAACACAAAGTGTGTCTACTGACATGTATGATGCCGGTCTGCAGACTCACACCTGTACACCCCAGAAGCTCTGTGGGTGTTTCTGCACTCATCTGGGCAACCTGCCTTAGCTTACCACTGTAACAAAAGCACAGCTGTTGACTTTTTTATTTTTTATTTGACTTTTTTATTTTTTATTTTTTGGCCAGGCCTCTTTCAGACAAGCTAGCTATAGGATGTCCTTAGGAAACATCTGGCGTGGGAATCTGGAGTTTTACTAGCAACCCTTTTTTGGCAGTCTACTGAGTCTCTCTTAAACCATAGGTACCTCAGAAGTGTGCATATTTTACTTCCTGTGTGAATCGAAATCCTAGTGGTACTATCAAAACCAAGACATAGTTGTAGGGTGAATAGCTGCAACACATCTTACATTGCTCAAATTGCAAATATTGATAAATGCACCCTCAACATAACAATCCAACAATCTGCTTGGTTTCCGTGCTGGTTCATTGTTGAGGGCAATAAACATAGTTTGTTTATTCGTTCATTTAGTTAGATTCAATATTATTGTATTGCCATTGCACAGGTGTAGAACAAAATAGAATTTTATCTGTTATTTTGTTTAGAATATTAGTGGATTCCCTCCTTGCAATTAGATTAACCTGCCAGCTGAAGCAACAGAGAGAACTGGTGACCTCAGATCTTTGTTATTGAGGTCAGTAGTAGATAAGATTCAGACTGGACATTCCCCCCCTTGAACCCGATGGACCCGATGCCAGGACTGCATGCACTTCCGGTAACAAAATCGTTCCAAAAACATGCTTAATATTAACCAATACATGCAAAAAGGCTCATCAAAATGAAAGTATCCATACCCAAAGAATAATAATAATAATAATAATACATTTTATTTAAAAGCGCCTTTCAGGACACCCAAGGTCACTTTACACAAAACACGTAATAAAATACAATAAAACAATAATAAAACCCAAAGAAGAAAAAACAGAGAGAAACATTTCAATAAAATCAGAGGTTGTAGGCAGATTTAAACATGTGTGTTTTGAGTTTTGTTTTGAAAAGGGTAAAACTGTTGACGTTCCTGATGTCTGGGGGAAGTGAGTTCCAGAGTCGAGGAGCAGAGCGGCTGAAAGCTCTGCTCCCCATGGTAGCGAGACGGGCAGAAGGAACCACAAGATGGATGGAAGAAGAAGATCTGAGTGAACGGGATGGGGTGTGAATACTTATAAGGTCTGAGATATATGGAGGAGAGAGGTTGTGGATTGCTTTGAAGGTATGGAGGAGAATTTTGAAGATGGACCTGAATTTAACTGGGAGCCAGTGAAGCTGCTGGAGAACCGGCGTGATGTGGTGAAAGGAAGGGGTTCTGGTGATAATACGGGCTGCTGAATTCTGGACCAGTTGCAGTTTATGAAGGAGTTTGTTGGGAAGACCATAAAGAAGTGAATTGCAATAGTCGATACGGGAGGTGACGAGGCTGTGGACGAGAATGGCGGCAGTGTGAGGGGTCAGTGAGGGACGGAGACGGTTAATGGAACGTAGAAGGAAGTATGCTGACCGAATTAAGTTATTAATGTGAGCCTGAAAAGAAAGTGAGCTGTCGAGAATGACACCCAGACTCTTGACGTGAGGTGAGGGGGAGACTGTGGCGCTGTCAATAGTTAAAGAAAAGCTGTCAGATGTTGAGAGGGTGGAGTTAGTGCCAACAAGAAGAAGTTCAGTTTTATTGCCGTTGAGTTTGAGGAAATTAGAGGTGAACCATGATTTGATTTCAGAGAGGCAGAGTGTAAGGGAGGATGGTGGGAGAGTTGAGTTGGGCTTACTGGAAATGTAGAGCTGGGTGTCATCCGCAAAGCAGTGAAACTGGAGAATTCAAAGAATTCACAATGCCAACAGTAAAGCCTAACCCTAACCCATCCTACAATACCAAGGATGTGTCAAAGGTCGTTATGGCGCCAAAGTTAAAACTGGAACGTTTAACCTTTTGTAACATTTTTATTTACAGACTTACTTACTAGTGACTTTGTTTCTGAAACAGTCCCTGTCAGTAAGCCATACGTCCTGGTAAGTGATGAATTTCCAGTGGAAGGGTCACGAGTGTGGATGCACTGCAAAGTGGAAAACGGGTCTGAGCCAATCCAGTACACATGGCAACATGAAGCTCTCCGTGGAAATGTCAGGAACTTCACAGGCAACAACAGCATCATCAACGTGGACAACATCAACCGGAGCTATTCAGGCTGGTACCACTGTGTGGTCAGTAACGCTGTCAACAGTAAGAGCTCTGACAGCTTACTGTTGAACATCACGTGTAAGTATGAATGGGTTTGCTTTCTTTTGGACTCTGGTTATTACAGAAGTTTCATGACAGAACTAAAGATTCATGGAATAGATTTAAAATCGTGACATTCCCATCATATAAGTGGCAATAGTTGCATATGTGCTGCCCTTGACTGGCCTCTCACTGTATAAACTGGAAAGTCTTGAATTGTAGTTTAAATCAACGTGCCTCTCTTCAAGGTTTAACCACCGAACTAGATAGAAATTGTTTGTCTACCATGTTTGGAGCTTTCATCTCTCTAATATGTTCATGTTGTTTCTCCTCAGTTGGTCCAGATGTTCCTCAGATAGACATAACTCCGTACAGAATAACCAAGTATGGATACTCCTCTCTGGAGACAGAAACTATTTTGTTTTTTTGTCAAGCTCAGTCCAATCCTGTCAGCCAGTATGTTTGGTTCTACAACGACTCACAAATCTACACTGGGCCTTGGTTCACCATCAGCAACATATTCCGCAATCAAACTGGCAACTACTCCTGTTTGGCAGAAAATTCATACCTGAACAAACGTTCCAGACAAACAATCAGCCTGACTGTCTTCTGTGAGTGTGACCTTTGACCTTGCACCATGTCTCACTCCTTTTTCTCCTCATAACCTCAGATAGTAAATCTGCATTGTGTCATAAGTGACAGAGAGGATAGACAGCTTTTCTAATTGTCTGACTTCTTGATGAGCTTGAAAGTTTACGACTTTGCTTTGGTTGGATGCCGATCCAATCCCGTCACTGCACATTGTATATTTACTATAAAACGTATTTTTTTATTTGTATATTTTTTATTTCTACCAAAATCTAAAACATTGTCGCAACTCACATACACCCCTCCTCATGTGGATCCCACTTTACATCACTTTATGTTTGCTCCCTTCAGACCCTCCTGATGGGTTCCCCTCCTGCTCTGTGGAGGCAGCTCTGAACCACACCTTTCTCAAACTGGTCTGCTCCTGGCCCGGTGGATTTCCCTCCCCGTCCATCCTGTGGTCTGGAGACCTGATACAAGCAGGACAGAGACAGACTGACACAGGACAGACGAGTTCTGCCATCATGTCGTTGTCCTCGCAGAGCCTCTCTACAAACAGCAGCATGTTTACATGTGTGGGTTCTCACCCCGCTCTGAAACAACAGACAACATGCACCACTCGCTCATGTAAGAACAGAAACAAAAACAGTAAAATCAATAAAAATAAACTTACATTTTTTCTCTACTTTTTTTTTTTAAATTCTCTATCAGATGTTCCTCCTGCAGAGCCGGTGTGTTTCACCAACATGACCAGCGACAGACAATATGTGACTTTTCTCTGCACCTGGGATGGAGGGGCCCCTAGAGCCTTAACATGGTGGGAGGAACCAGGGGGTCAAACCCAAAGCGGAAAAGAAGAGTCCAACATCCTGGTCCTTCGCTATGGCACCGTCCAGGGCGGGAAGCCCTACACATGCTATGCTAAACACCCACTAATGGTTCAACCAAAGACCTGCAAGCTTACACTGGGTTAGTCCTCTTAAAATCAGTGTTAGCTTCTCCTTTAATGAACTGTAGCTCTTCTTTTACTAGCTATGTCTTCACACACACACACACACACACACACACACACACACACACACACACACACACACACACACACACACACACACACACACACACACACACACACACACACACACACACACACACACGCGCACACACACACACACACACACACACACACACACACACACACACACACACACACCACTTCTTCTACATCAGACAATCTTTGTGTAATACTTCTTCTTGGATCCAGTTCCTGTCAGTAAACCATCTCTCTGGATGAGTGATGCTTCTGCAGAGGAAGGATCCACAATATGGATGAGGTGCAACGTAGAAAAGGGCACTGGGCCGATCCACTATGTGTGGCAGCGCGAAATCTTCAGTGGGAACTTCTCAACATTCACTCAGGGCAACAGCAGCGTCGTCAGCATGACCAGCGTAAACCGGAACCACACGAGCCGGTACCAGTGTGTGGCAGACAATGCTGTCAACACTGAAAGCTCTGAGATATCATGGCTAAATATTACCTGTAAGTGTTAGCAGATCAATGACTTTCATTCTTGGTTTCAACTATTTTTTAAAACAGGAAATTTTAAAATCAATCGTTGCAATTTAGAGTTACATATCAGGAACAAGATCAACTCACAGGGACAAAAACCGGGACAACCAGCCCTTTGTGGGGTCTCTTACTATTTAATGTGGCCCAAATGAACTACATACCATTGTTAGCTTGTTAACGTGTAGCCCAAACACATTCATTCTGCCCATATTAGATATTACAGTAAGAGATACCACAGAGTGCTGGTTGTCCATTTTTTTATTCCTCAGAACTGCATCAATGTACTTCCCTGTGTTTAACCTTAGAGTGCACACTGAACCCCCATTTTGTTAAGCTCAAAGAATGAGGTGTAATGGTTTTAATGGTTAACATCGCCATTTTCCATTGAAGAAAATTATAGAGAATGGCAAGTGACATTACCTTTGACCCACTGTCATCGTCCTTCATCGTCATACTATTTGCATTCTGTTTCCACAGTTGGTCCTGACGTTCCTCAAGTAGATGTGGCTCCATACAGAAGAACTGAGTATGGATACTCAGTTCTGGAGACGGAGAATGTTTCTCTATCCTGTGATGCCCAGTCCAATCCGGCCAGTCAGTACCTCTGGTTCTACAACAACTCACAAATCTACATCGGACCTCAGTTCACCATCAACAGGATCCTCCGTATGTTTGCTGGCAACTACACCTGCCTGGCACAAAACTCCTACCTGAACACCAGGTCAAAGAAAACGATCAGCCTGATCATCTACTGTGAGTGTGACCTTTGATCTCTTACCATGTTGCTTCTTTTAAACCCATTTCCTCCATATTTGTCTGGGATAGTGTGACATCGTTTTGTGTAAAAGATTGAGATGTTAGAGAATTAGCTGCATTTGTACGGAAGAGGATTAGGGCCACTGAAAAGAAAAAAGGAAAGAAAGCGAATTCTGACATTTTTCTCAGAATTCTGACATTTTTCTCAAGCCTGGGGAGCACTGGAGGCGGACGCGCCGCGCAAAGTCGCGCCGGAGATTAGGAGAAGTCAAGTGGTCACACAGGACGGGCTGCGCCACACCGCTGAACGCTTCTTGGTAAGTCGTGCGATAGTCACAACATCACGCGGGACCTGAGAACAGAAAGCAGGAAGTGACTCTATTGCTTATACATGATCAGACTTGCCGTCGACTTTTGAGAGACTCAAATTATTTAAAAATGGGTAAGTACGCAATTTATTTGAATATTTAAAGATCAATAGTACCTCAGAGTTAACAAAACTGCAGTTGAGTATGTGACGTAATGTCTGTTATAAAGTACTCCACAATGTTGTAAACAGCTGGCGGCGCTTCAGACAGAACTGGTAACTATCTTCAGCGCCTTGGCGTGGCGCTTCTGGGACATGGCGCTCCCTGTGTGCCCACTGTCATCAACTATAATGGCTTCAATTTAAAATGATGGCGCGACGCGACTCAATGCAGCGCAGCACATCCGCCTCCGGTGTGCCCCAGGCTTCAGGATTTTTTAAGTTGGAATTCTGAGAAAAAAGTCAGAATTTGCTTTATTTTATTTATTTCCTTTCATTCACCATTCATGTATTTGACTCAGACCATCAATCAGCTGGTAAATTAGGCTAAAATTAACCTTTTTTTTTTAGTTTTTTATTGCAAACTAAATCATAACCAAACCTGTTCTGGCCTTAAGAGTCCAGACGGGGCATCAGGACCAGTACCTTCATTGCTAAACAGCTGCATGCTGCCCTCTGGTGGAGGATCTATTGATGGCATGAGCCAATTTTATTTGTCTATTATTTGATTTACTATTTTAATGTTGTATAATTGCATGAAAACGAATTATTTAATTGTTGTTTTATTAACATTTAATAATAAACAGTTCAGACTTATAAAATGATTATTGTTTAATATTTCAGGCATTAAGGGATTAAACTATTACACTGAATGGTGATTTAATGGCTTCCTTCTCAATGTTTATCTCAGAGGGGACACCGAATAAATAGTAATAACACATGTTGAATTGTTTATAATTTCATGTACCTATAATGTAATTTTTTGTTGGTTTTGAATAGTCATGATCCTTTTGATTTACAGAAGCTCTGCTTTCATTCAGTGAAGAGTTTTTTTGTCCTTTTGTTTTTATTGTCGGGTTAACTGTTCCAGGCAAAGAGGCTTGATTTAAAGTCGATGGCCTCAACATACAGTAGTCTGTTGGAACAAAGCGCAGACTTCTTCTTTCTCTGTTTATATTTTAGCTTTGTGTACATCTGAAGTGAATGTAAGTAAAGACACTGTTTCATCAACTCAAATATGATGCGGTTGTGAGCTTCAGGGTTATGTTAACCATTGTAACAGTTTGCAATGAAAAACAAAACATGATGAGAGTCTATAGGGCATTTACTGAATGGGGTGCAGGTATGATGATGTTCTTTAAAGATGATCTCAGTCAGTCAGATGTCTTAGATGGCCAACATTCTTACATGTGCAGCTGTTCTCTTCCTGTCAGACCCCCCTGATGGGTCCCCCTCCTGCTCTGTGGAGGCAGCTCTGAACCACACCTCTCTCAGACTGGTCTGCTCCTGGCCCGGTGGATTTCCCTCCCCTTTCCTTTTTTGGACCGGAGACCTGATACAAGCAGGACAGGGACAGACTGACATGGCACAGCAAGCAGATCTACTTAGCACAAACATCCTCCTGCCCTCTGGAGGCCTGACTCCCAACAGCAGCTTGTTTACGTGCTATGGTTCTCATCTTGCTTTGAGGCAACAAACGGAGTGCATCACATCCTCATGTGAGCACCGAAAACAAAACAAAAAAGTAAAATTGAAATGAATGTATTTGGTTCAAATGTTGATAGTTTATCCTTCTCTCACCAGATATTCCTCCTACAGCGTTGTTGTGTTTTGCTAATGTATCGAGTGACAAACAGTCCCTGATGCTGTCCTGCATCTGGGATGGAGGAGCTCCGAAAGCCTTAGTTTGGTGGGATGCACCAGGAGGTCAGGGCAAAGCTGGAGAAGAAACCTCCAATGTCCTGGTCGTGAGATACAACAGTTTTTACTTTGGGAAGCCCTACGTGTGTTACGCTAAGCATCCACTAATGGTCCAAACTAAGACCTGCAGCCTCACACTTGGTGAGCACTCGTCATCGCTACACAACAAATACCAGCCACGATTTGTTTTTCTGACACAAAATCATGTTGTTCTTTTATTGACTTCAATCAACACTTGTGTGTAACTCTTCATCACAGCTACTGTCAGTAAGCCGTCTCTCTTGATAAGTGAAGCAGCTCCAGTGGAAAAATCAACGACATGGATGCGATGTAACGTGGAAAATGGTACAAAGCCAATCCTGTATGTGTGGCAATATAAAAATAACAGCGGCAGTATCACAACATTTGCACAAGGCAACAGCAGCATGGTCACTATGAGCAACGTTAACCGAAGCGTCACCGGCCTGTACCGCTGTGTGAGCAGCAACTTCATCAACAGTGAGAGCTCTGACTGGTTTTTACTGGACGTTATCTGTGAGTATTAAAGGCACACTGAGTAACTTTGGCATGTTTTAAAATAATTTTCTTGAGCCAGCAGGCACTAAAACGATCCTTTAAAAGGTGAAGGAAAAGCCTCTGTCCTCTGCTGCTTGTGGGTAGAACTTGAGCCAGACCGGTGACCTGAAGTCCCACAAAGTCACATATCTTGCGAGGTGCAGTAACGCTTCAGGGCAATGCGTTTACACCTCAAAACCACAGCTAACAAGTCTCCTGCTTTGGCTGGGATGCTCCCGTATTTTACCTGTTCCTTCCTGTTTTTCCATTTTAGTAATTCCCCTTACAATGTCCCGCATTCACTGAAATTTTTATACTCGTTCTCCTGGAGACAGGAAGGACATGTAAAGTACCAGTGGTCATATTTTCACCAACAAATTGACCAGAGGTCAACCTTTCGTTTGCAGACATGAAAACACCTTCTGTCCGGCCTCCAAGTCCAAAACAAAGTTCTGCCCCAGTTCTTGGTACTGCAAAGAAGCCATAACAGCTTTGCTCAAGGCCTCAAGCAGAAGCCAGACTGCTGCATCCTCACTCTAAATACATTTCACCCACCTCGAAGTTCCTACGTGACTTTCCAACTTATAAGTTGAAATAATCATATATGTTGAAGGAACAAGATGTTCAAATCAAATTTTTTGAACAATCTGTTTTAATCAATGATGCTTTAACATGAATATTGTTCTTGCAATGATCCATTTCAAATCTTATCTACACCAGATCAGTATGTGTTTGATTTAACAAAAGTTAATCTATCAATATACTCATACACACTATAATAAGATTATTATTATTATTGATAACATTCACCTCACATAAGTGTTTTAAAATATTCTCACAAAGGGTTAACCATCTTTGCGTCTGACTGAAGTGACTTCTGAGGTAAAGTTTTGATAATGCTCTCAAACGTGTCAAATTCTGATTTGCCTAATGTTTAAGTAATATGTTTTAATAAAACAGGAATTGGTTCCTGATTAATTCAGTTTCCAGCTGACTCCCGATTCGGCCAAATCAGGGAAAAAGCATTTTGAAACCATCCTCTCTTTTGACATGAAGCCAAAGCCTCTGCAACGCTGTGAGTGATTACAGACACAACGGCTCTTTTAAGAGCCACTCTACACCTCAGACACAAACAAGCATTCTAGCTTCCTGTCGTGACCTGGAGATATCTCAAGACTAGATGGGTCATATCGGAGCTAATCTACGGGTTCCTGGTACCTCGAGGTCCATGTCCATCCCGACCTCGTGACCGCCTGAATCTGAACGGGGATCTTTACACAAAGGGAATTGTAGACTCAACAGATGGCATCGGATGGTTTTTATAAACAAATCTCTAGTTTACCAAACATACAGCCAAATTCTTTTACAACCCAGACTCCACAAATTCTCTCAGATACTGAAAAAAGGTTTTGCTAAAAAAAATCTAGCTTCCATTACAACATCTCATCCATCATATTAATTCACTTCATATCCATCATTTCATTCATACCCTGTCCTGTATAATTATTAGTTTAGGGGAATAGAAATAAATTCATTTTTATAAACTATATGCTGACCGTCTGAATTAATACGAAGTGTATTTATGGTCCCTGAGTAAGTAAAGTAACTAGAATCTTCTGATTAAACATTCAAAGATCAATCAGATCGATAATTCATATTTATATGGAATTATCACATCTGATCGATCATTTTGTTACACATGCATCCACTCCTTAATGCTATGGACACTACACTTTTGCTTCTGGGAAATTTCCCTTATTTTCAAATCCAGATCTCGGTTTACTCAGAACCGATAAGTTCAAGAACGTGGATGGTGTCTACAGTTTCTTGTTCAGTACTTTTTATACCGGTACTCTGAAAATTTACTACACAGACTACCAGGACATTTTCCTATCAGTAGAAATCAGTTTGTCTCCCAGATCAACAAAAGAAACGCCAGTACCGACGTTCAGCATGAAGTGCTCTTTTATTGTGCTCATCTTTGGGTGGATGTTGGCGCAAACATTTATCTTCATTCCATACAATGTCCACAGACTTAAAATAAAAAGTCCAAAATACCTGGTAGAGCAGCTCAGAACCGGTACCCCTCGTTGGAACCTACATGGACTCTGATGACAACTCACTCCAAGTGTGCAGAGCGTCCTTTTAAAGGGCCGGCTCTGCCCACAAAGGAAACACTACAGTTTCCCCGACAGTTCGGAATCATCAATCCTGACATTATCTCCAAACAATAGTACATTCCCCGCCCCCATGATCTACCTATATCTACACATTCTTTACCCTTCCAGTTAACAGCTCAATAACCCTGAAGGTAACCTACAGAATATAATTTTAACACACACACACACAACAAAATCACCATGTGTGCACCCACGACGAATTGCTCCGTGTTACGTCAAAAATATACTAATAAGGTTTGTAAAAAGTACTTATAGGACAGGCTTAATTTGTGACGGCTCCTCCGTCTCTCACACACACACACACACACACACACACACACACACACACACACACACACACACACACACACACACACACACTTTCAAATCCCTTCCTTGAAATGCTCTTGAAACACGCTGGTTTCTGTCTGAGTTCGATCAACGCCCAAACCCCGAATGAGACAAACTATTTTTGATCAGTGATTTCTAACTCTTTGATGAGTTGTTAGACTCTGTACAAACACCATGAGAGTAATGAGCATCAACCAGGAGTCCTTTAATTGATTTGGTTCTTTTGTGCATATATTTTTTCTCAGTTGGTCCAGATGTTCCTCAGTTTGGGGTGGCTCCATCCCGCGTAGCGGAGCAGGGGTACTATGCTCTGGAGTCAGAAATGGTTTCTTTGTCATGCCAAGCCCCGTCTAATCCAGCCAGTCAGTACACCTGGTTCTACAACAACTCACAGGTGAACACCGGGCCGCAGTACACCATCAACAAGATCCTCCGTTCACAGACTGGAGAGTACACCTGTATGGCACAAAACCCTAACATGAACACCCGCTCCAAAAAATCCATCAGCCTGACTGTCTACTGTGAGTGTGACCTTTGACCTCAAACCATGAAATAAATAAATGTTATTCTGTCAACAACTCATTCTCAACGTTTTGTTTTATTAAAAGAAGGAACATGTAAAACATCTCTTTTGATTTTCATCTCCATCTACATCGAACCGAACAAAGAAGCATCTATAGCCAACTTCCCTTCACTGCTCTGTGCTTCCTCCCTTCAGACCCCCCTGATGGATCCCCCTCCTGCTCTGTGGAGGCAGCTCTGAACCACACCTTTCTCAGACTGGTCTGCTCCTGGCCCGGTGGATTTCCTTCTCCTTCCCTCCTTTGGACCGGAGACCTGATGCAAGCAGGACAGCAAACAAGTCTACAGAGTAGCTCCGCTGTCGTCCTGTTGTCTTCTAAGAGCCTGACTTCATACGGCAGCTTGTTTACATGTGTGGGCTCTCATCCTGCGCTGAAACAACAGACAGAGTGCAGCACTCGCTCGTGTGAGTGCAAAAATAACATTACAATAATTAAAACATTCATTGATTCTGTTCTTTAAGGATTTATTCCCCTCCATCAGATGTTCCTCCAGCAGAGCCAGTGTGTTTTGCCTATGCGACCAACAATCAGCAGTATCTGATGCTGTCCTGCACCTGGGATGGAGGGGCCCCTAAAGCCTTAGTGTGGTGGGAGGGACCAGGGGGTCAGAATCAAGGAGGACAGGAAAACTCCAACATCCTGGTGCTTCGCTATGGCACCGCTCGCAGTGGGAATCCTTACACCTGCTATGCTAAACACCCACTTCTGCTTCAACCAAAGACCTGCAGCCTCACACTGGGTCAGTCCTCGTTACAGTAACGTGCAACAAACAGCAGATAGGTTTGCTAATTTACCCGTTAGTGTTTTTCTACATGCAGAAGCTCCTGTGTTGCTGACACAGCGCAGAGTCGTGTCCGTGTTTGAGGGCAGTGATGTGCAGCTCACCTGCAGCCTGAGAGACAACTATCTTCCTGTCAATGAAATCACCTGGTTTAACAATCAGGGTGTCAGTGTCCAAGACAGGTCCAAGTACCTGCTGCTGCGGACATCTGCGTGGGCTAACCTGACCGTGAAGGACACAGACGTGATGCAGGACAGCGGCGAGTATAGATGCTCCACTTCAAATGCCGTGGGAGGAGCAGACATCAACGTCACTTTGGTGGTCAAGAGTAAGAATCTGTTTCATCCTGAATCCAGCCGAGTTTTGTCAGAGCTTTTTTCATCGGCTCAAACCAACAAAAGTGTCCTTTTGTGTTTGTTTTGTCTCTATCTCAGAATACCCCATGCCCCCTAACGTAACCCTGGTCAGAGTGATGTACAACAGCCAACAGCGTAACGAGGTGGACCTGGAGTGGACGGTAGAAAGTCAGGGAGATGGAGGTTGGACAGGTTTCTTTTTGGAACATCGATGGATGTCAGAGAAGCCAAATAAAAGAACAAGAAGCAATGACTCCCAAGTGCTGAGAGAGGAGAGGGCTTCCTCCCAGGACTGGTACATCAACATCATCCAGGATCCAGATGCCAGGATTTACACGGTACGAGGACTGACTCCAACCGTCACCTACCAGTTCAGAGTCACGCCTGTGAACTACCGCACCATCGGATATCCTTCTGCAGCAAAGACTCCAGGTACAATATGACCACATTTAGTTTTTCTAAAACAAAATTAAAATTGTGCTAAAGTCGTTCCTTTCTGCTTTACCAGACTGTGTTATATTTTGACATGATGATTAAAGGCATGAACGTGTCACCTCTGTTTTATTGTGCATTTCTATTTTTATGTAATTTTTTGCAGTGGAACTACACAACAACATGTACCCTGCTGTTGTTGGAGCGGCTGTGGGCGGGATGCTCTTTGCAGTCATTCCCATTGTACTGTTTCTCCTGTATATTATCCGTAATCGTGACAACAATCCCAGTGAGTGTCGAGTTGTTTCAGCTTGTTTAAAATAGCCACAAGATCTGGTTTTATGCCAGTGTTCTGTGCTTCCTCCCCCAGGACTACATCGCATGCTTTTTGGCTCGTAAGTAACATTGCATTTTTAGAGATTTGTGAACATTTTTGGAAATATGTTGAGGAGAATATGTTGTCATCAACAACCTAGTTTGCGGTAACATTTAAATTGTAATCATATTATATATCATTGGTATTCAAACCAGCACATTTTACTTTTAACCTGGCTTCAACACACCCAATTTCAGTCAGCAGGTCATTAACAGGCTTCTGCAGAGCCTGATGAGCTGCTGCACAGGTGATTCAACCATCAAATAGTGTGTTGTAGCAGAGAAACCTCTAAAACATGCTTGATCCTGGCCCTCCAGGCCTGACGTTGAGTACCCCTGTTAGAGTGTGTAGGTTAGGAGTTTCAAAAGTAATCAGTACACAAGTTGGCCCAAATTTGGCCAACATTTTCCAATCTATTAGGATACGTATTTAAAACATTTTGTGCCTCATGACCACCCTTTTTCTCCAGGCTCCCCTCCTAAGCCACACCTCCAGAATACAGGAGAATGCAGGACACCACGATACTGTCAGACATGCATAAACACACAACTTTCTCTTACCTATCAAGAAGAAAAACAGCCATCATGGCATCAGTTTGCAGCTTGACATACCTGGCCTGTCAGACTGGCATGCGCTGTAATATGGGTATGCCAATCTGACAAGGTATGGTGCTTTGACAGAACACCAGCTCTGGCTTCACTTCCTGTTCAACTACTCCAAGCTGAGAAAAATAGTCGTGCACATAGAGGTGTGAATCTGTGTGTGGGTGGGTGAGTGAATGGTTGTGTTGTAATGTGCCTTGGGGGGGTGGTAGAACCCAAGAATTTGGAAATTCAGGCCATTTACCATCAGTGATGGGAATAACGCCGTTTAAAATTACAACGTTACTAAAAATAGTAGTTATTTTCATTAACAAGTAATCTAATTAATTACCGTCTTCTTTTATCACAACGCCGTTTCCATTACTGATAAGTCTACGGCTGCATACCCACAGATTCGCTGCTGCAGGCGTGAATCTGCAGCCGTGCCCTTCTTGGCGGGACATCCCGAAGGTCCGCTCACCTGTTCACTGCTCAGATCTTCTATCTTCCTAGATCATCTAACTGTAACCTGTTCCTGATCATTTCTTTAGTCTCGCTGTAACGCTGGTTGCATCAGTCTCACACGTCATTGGCACTCAGGTGTAACTAGAACTCCCTGTGTGTCTTTACCACCCAGCTTCAGCTCTTCTGTGTTTGGGTCTGACCCAACTTAGTAAAGTTAAGTCCTCCATCAGATTTGTGTCTCTTCTAGTGTCATTTTGAAGGATTTTTATGTATTTATGCAACCATTACTAGATTACCAGCAACAGAAATGCTACTAAAAACACACAATTATGTGAAGCTGGAAAAATTTGAACACTGCGCAAAATGTCACTTATTTGAGTGATTTAACTAAACTGAGAGACCATTTAAAGGCTCAGGAACCTTTACATGTTTCTATTTGCAATTATAAATTTTAGCTGTTTGGGGTCTTTTTAAATATCACACAGTGACATTTTAATAGTCTAGGTTGGTGTAATGTTCCTGTTTGTAGTTTTATTCAGTTTTATAAAAACATCTGGACATTTTACTACGTCCCAATCATTAGTCATTTATATTTCAGTTTTGTAGCAATTTATAGTAAATTAAGTAAGTTTAATTAAAAGGGGAACCCATTTTTCTTGCATTCTTTAATGAAAAAAGTAGCAAAATAGTTGTTTTTCTTGGTAGTTGGTTACTTTTATAATCTTGTAACTCAGTAAGTAACGTTACTTTTTTGACAAAGTAACCAATAACTATAGCTAATTACTTTTTAGAAGTAGCGTTCCCAACACTGTCTACCATAGAGGGGATGTCCCGAAGGGGGAGGGACAGTTAGAGGTGGTCTGGTGGATAAATCAGGATCCAATCATTTAGAACTTCCCCAGAGTTTTCCAAGATTGTACATTTCAGAGGTGATCACATTTATTTATAGAAAAACATTGATTTTACTGGTATGTGAAGAGCATTTCAAGTCAATTGACCCAAAAATCGTCCAGATAAACACCTACCACCCCACCCGTAACTCGATGGGTTCTGTAAAGTGAATGGTTTAGACATTAGCTCCAGATACTGCTGAATGTGTGAAGGTGGTGCTAAGCTAAATTATTAATACTGATTGGGCTGCATGAAGTGATTTGTGCAGCTAATTATTCATGTCTTTGGTGCTTCCAGGCTGCACAGCCAATCCAGAGAAAATATTAACTTCCCAGAGGATGAACTGGTCAGAGGGTCAGAGGAGGGAATAGAAAACACTGCAGGACCATCCGGTTCAGGCAAGATAAACTCAAACACATTCAAACCTAACATTTGGAATACCGTACTCATCTTTTTTATCTTGTGCAGAACTGAAGGTATCATCATGACTGACTGCTGCCTCCATCACAATAACACCTCCCAGGAGGGAGGTGGGGAATTAACCCTTCTCTATCTAAAAGATACAAAATATTTAGTTACGATTTCACTTTTTTTTATATACAGTAGACATTTTGTATTGTTGCCCAAAGTTAAAATTTCTCAACATTTTACAGCAAGTATCAATTTATAGATGAGAGCAGAGGGATGGACAATGTTGTAAAGGCTGAATCTTACCTGTGTGATGTCTTCTGTGTCCTACTTCAGCCTTGATACTCTGTTCCATTCTTCTGTTTTGTCACTGTGTCTCATTAGAAGCAATAAAACATGGTCAAACGTTTTGTGTATTCTCTTTAAAGCAGAGGTTCACTGAGAAACATGCAGTACATGTTCTTGTTTAAATACCGTTGGTCATGCTCAGCATGTTTTGAGGAAGGGACCTAACCCAAGAGATGCAGAAGCAATACACAGGACCAACAGGTACGTAAAAGAAAACAAGTTTGTGAGTAAGGTGGAACGTAGAGTGCACTGACGTCGGTGAAGGAGCTGTGGCTGTGAGCAGCATCTGGAACAAAAACAGACATCAGTCAGGTCTCAGTCGTGAGTTAACGTGGGAGAAATAAGGAGACAGGTCTTACAGTGGTTGGGGAAGTAGGGAATGAGAGGGAGGAGTACTGGGCCTGAGGTGGAAACGGGAGTCAGCGTGGGTGGCAAGAGTCCAAGTGGGTGAGCGGCAGGAGAGCAGGTCGGTCCAAGAGGGAGGAGGAGACATGGTCTGAGGGGAAATCCAGGTTATTTATGGCCAAGGGAGGTTGGAGTTGTCTAATGCCTGGTGGGGGGGGGGGGGGGGGGGGGGGTTGCAAAAACGAGTCAATCCTAGATTGTAAAGTCTAGAGTTCTTTTACTAGAGACGAGTAGCACAAGCTGCCCAAAGTGAGTAATCATCTGGTGAGTTGAAAGTGTTTCACTCCTCCCTAATTTTCAACAGGCAGAAAAAGTTATTTCAGATTTTGTGTGAAAACACCCAGAGGACTCCAACTGTAGCCTGTATGTCTTGGGGACATAAAAAATTGGATGGCTCTAAACTTTTTGCTTTTAAATCAAGACAAGACGGAAGTTCTCATCTTTGGACCAGGAATCCAGAAAAGGAAATTGCTTAGCCAATCACCTGACCTGAATGGCATTACATTAATCTCCGAGAACAAAGTAAGGAACCTTGGTGTTATCTTTGACCAGGACATGTCATTCAAATCCCAGGTTAATCAGGTTTGTAGGATTTCCTTTTTCCACCTTCGGAATATTGCTAAGATTAGAAGCATACTTTCCAGGAGTGATGCTGAAAAACTAGTTCATGCATTTATTACATCAAGACTGGATTACTGTAATTCATTACTCTCAGGAAGTCCACAGAATGTAGTTAAAAGTCTTCAGCTTGTCCAAAATGCTGCAGCTAGAGTTCTGATGAGAATTAAAAAGAGAGATCATATCTCTCCTGTCTTAGCTTCCCTACATTGGCTACCTGTTCAATTCAGAATAGATTTTAAGATCCTTCTTCTCACATATAAAGCTCTTAATAATCAAGCTCCATCATACATCAGTGATCTGATTGTTCCATATGTTCCTAACCAAGCACTTCGCTCTCAGACTGCAGGTCTACTGGTGGTTCCCAGAATATCTAAAATTAGGATGGGAGGCAGATCTTTTAGTTATCAGGCTCCTCTCCCGTGGAACCAGCTCCCAGCTTTAGTCCGTGAGGCAGATACTTTGTCTACTTTTAAGAATAGGCTTAAAACATTTTTATTTGATAGGGCCTATGGTTAAAATCTGATGTTAGCCTAAATCTGGACAAGTGGGGGGAGTACAGGGAGGTGGAGTGTACAGTCGGTAAAGACGGCTCTCCCTTGCCCTGACTCCAACATGCCTACATCTAAATAGGATAGATTATCCAGAGTTATCTCTGTAGTTATGCTGCTATAGGCTTAGACTGCTGGAGGATACACTGACCACTTTTCACACTCTACTGCTTTCTTCTACAGTCTGCTCTTTAACTGTACTATTTTCTGCAATTTCAGCTGTTAACTTTATTTTCTCTGTAAGTGTTTTTCTCCCCAGAAGACGCTACAACGACGTTCTGCTGAGCTGTGGTGGCCTCATGGAGGGGGCCATCGACCAGCACACTGCTGCTAACCACTAAAACATTCTCTCTCTCCTGATAATAACTTTTTGCTTTCCTTGACGTTTGATGTGCTAATACTAGTTTATCTGTTTAATTATAGATCCACTAGGATGAATACAATAAAATTTATCTTTCACCAAATAGAATATTTACTAAGACATCACAATATAACTATAAACACATTACTTGTCTTTGTGTGTGTGTGTGTGTGCGTGCGCGCGCTCATGTGTGCCTGTGTGTGTGTGTCTGCTCTGTCTTCTCGATCCCCAGTGAGTCGTGGAGGATGGCTGCTTATACTGAGCTGGGATTTTCTGGAGGTTTCTTCCTGTTAAAAGGGAGTTTTCCTCTCCACTGTCGCTTTATGCTTGCTTAGTATGAGGATTGCTGTATAGTCACTGACACTCGTCAGTGACTTGATGCAATTTGCTGGGTTCCTTATATAGGAAACATTATTTCTGATTGGCTTAATAAACTGACCTGAATTGGAATGT